CATGGTGTTTTTGTACAGACAGCACTTCAGACAGCAAGTATGCTGTAGTCGGCAATCATTCGTTTTGGTACAGAGTGGGACAGGTAGGGGGTGATGTTGCTGTAGTCGAACGGTGAGACGGACGTGTAGTTCAGTTTTGGGCACGCGTACGGTGCTGCAGGGATTATATATAGGTGTAGTAGTACCTCTTCGGGCTCTTGGATACCTTTTTCTTGCTACGTGTGCGTGTTCTTTAGATCCTCAGATGGCTCTAGCACTTTCGTGACCACGGGCTGAGAGTCTTTGCTAGATTTTGGTATTTAGCAACTGGCATACGGTTTAATGTGAAGTCAACAACAACAACAACACGCACAGAAGATTGTTGGAAAAAAAAGGTGGTTCTACTCGCCGCCAGCTGGGGTAGCCTTCACTGACGCTTTGCATTCATTGCTAATATGTCTTGGACTCTTTTCTTAGATAGAGATGGATTCGTTGTGTCATATTAAGAAATAAAAAAGGCATGAGCATCTGATGTACTGAACCCTCTCAAAGCCGCGGTAAACGTGTACAGGGTTACCGCACAAGATGCGTGCGCCTGTTCCAACGAAAGGAACGAACTGTGCTGATCTTCTGTAGTAAACTTTCTACCGTCGCTTGCATGTTCCCCCGCCCCTGGCCGAGGACAGGCAATGTCACCGCCATCGAAGCCTACATCCGTTTGGGGGGCAACATGTACGTGCAGGACAAACAAGGCAATCCCCCTCTGCACGTGGTAAGGCAATCCCCATCTGCACGTGGTATGCCCAGCCAACTACTGTAAGTGGACTGTGCAGCTGTGAATTTGTCGTTTGGTGGGTACCAAGTACGCTCAAATCTTGCGTTGGGCCATTGATGGTTGAACAAGAACTTCGACTATGCATGTAGGCACCTCTCTTAGCCCCGTCTAGGTGGCCATTCCTTGGAAGGCTGTTCTATGATGCGAAGTACATGCATAGTATACGTTATATTCGAAATGATCGCAATCATCTTTCTTCTTGGAAACCAGCGGGTTAGGTCTGCAAACGTTGGTCTTGCCGGTATGGAGTGATCCAGTGAGCATGTGAGACTTACGTCTTCCTACTCTGACTCCCTGAAAATGGAAACAACATCGTCGGGTTATTCCTCCCGCCCCCTAAACCTCGAAGTGCTTCCGCATTTCGACCCTTCAGGCTATGACATACATACTTCGTACGTGAACTAACTACTGTAGACTTCATTTCGAGGGAAGTATTTCTCTTGCGGCGGCGAATCATTCTCACGCTTCCTTCTAAGCGTACATTGCCGTGCTTGTCCGAGGTCCGGAAGCCATCCGTGACATGTGTAATGGACTTCCATTTTCGCCGAGACTGACTCTATTTCACGTTGTGGCTTTCCCAACCGGCAACCGATGCATTGTGCGGTGTTCCAGATCTTCGCATTCGAAGCATCTAGCGTGCGTAGTAGCCCCGCGTACTGTCAACTGGCAGTGACCACGATTGGGGTTGTAGCCAAAACACCCGAAGCAACAAGCTGAAATTCAAAATTGCGACGGAGAAGCTCCTTCACTCGTACGCGCGTGCATGCAGGCATCATGGCACGGGCGAGAAGCATCCGTGGCGGCTTTCATTGACGCCGGCGCTGATCCCGCAGCGTTAAACAGACTTGGACAGACGCCGCTGTATTTCGCCCAAAAAAATGGGCACGATGGCTGCGCAATGCTGCTCAGGGGGAACACGCCACCCCCCCTCCGAAGGTTAGGCTACGGGTTGTACTGATATATGCACCCATGTTTTGCGATAGGTGAAGCAACCGTTTTCGTTCTTCCCCGCCAGACTCGCATGAGGAATCATTAGGCGTGCCCAGGTTTGCCCGAGGGAAACGCTGTAAGTGCTTCAAGCACTTGAACCAACGTTTGTGTCGTATATGGTTGCGGCACTAAGGACCGGCATAACGTTTCGCGACTATTTGTGCCTGAGGGTATGAAAAAAAACATCTCTTCGGAGTTCGAACCGTGCATCTCCGCAAGAAAAACAACGTCACACGAGCCCTACGCAAGTGTTGACCGGCAGTTCAGCTGTCGTGTTCCATTCCTTGTCTTCGGAGGAGCCGACGCCAACATTCATCGATAAAGGTGTGCGACCTCTTCGTACCCTAACTGTCTCGAACATTTTCACCACGTTTGCACCGAGAATAGCAGGAGCAGCTCACCTAGGCAGCAACAAGAGGAGACAGGCGATGGCGATCGGGCCATAATACTCGACGGCAGCAAGAAAGAGAAGAAAAAGGACATCGACAAGAGCAAGGATACAAGAACCAAGAGTAGCACTAGCAGCAGCGGCAGGGGCAAGACACCGCCTTCGAGAATTCTCGAGGGCGAGGCAGCAGCCGCAGCCCCGCCTTCGCTGCTACACCCACCTCACCCACCCACGGCGCCAGCAGCGCCTGCGCCTTCGGCAGCGCCAGTGCTTACTGGGGCTCGGACTCAAAATCAACATTTGACGGCGAGCACGACTCAAACGGGGGGGGAAGGTCTCGAAGCAGAGTGGCACCTGTGTCACGACGACGAAGGAAACGCTTACTACTACAGCGAAACTACCGGTGAGGCGGGAGGGTAATTTTCCGTGGGCGAGGAGGTCGGTAGAGCTTCCGCCGGTCGTAATGACGAAGAACTACTGTATCAACGATGTACGACGAACACGCGGAAACAAACGCCAACTTATCGGCGAGGCGCGGACATCTGGTGTTGTCATTTGCACACGACACGTGAACATGACCTAGTATCGATTCCGAGAGAAAATCCCAATAGCTTGTCACAACCCTGATACGAAAACCGCCCCCACGATCCCCACTTCCTTTTGGACCCGCTTTCGGATCTGTAGTCTGTGTTCCCCAAAACAGCATCTGGAAAATGTAACTTGGTCGCCACCTTTGTCTACCGCTCTCTACACATCAAACTCACGTTGCCCGATGTTTACCCCAAACCTGTACTTGCCAATATTGAAACGAAAACGCAGAGAGCCCACTTACAATGTTCCGGCGATGTCGGTTAGGTCTTGTGTTTCCAACGCATACCTCCTTGTCTAGAATGCTTGCATGTGTCGATTGCTTGAGCCCAACTCCAGGTGCATCTTTGCCTCCCTGGAAAACCCCCCAACGTTTTCCATCCTTTTGCATATTTTTCCCTTGGAATGCCATGGCTCACCGTCTTAGACTTATATATATTTCGTCCAATAAGCTGCATCCAGATCCGAAGGCAACCGCTGCAGAAGTAAGATTGGGAGACCGGGGGAAAGGAATCAATCCGTCTGTAGGGTTTCCACTGGCTCGGATCAATCATGCAGCTCCTGGAATACACATATTTGGGTGGTACGCGCTCGCTATTACTCCAAGAGTGTCGCATGCCTGACTTGCTCTTCCAGGGGAGTCTGTGTGGGCCGAGGTAGGGGACGACGGGAAGGGCGTTGCTGAATCTACTACCGCTCACGGCGATGAGAGCCGTCGGGGATCGGAGGAGTTGGCATCGGTGGTGAGAAAGTTGGGGGTCAAGTGCCTGGGATCCATGCTGCTGTGGTGCGTGTTCTCGTTTTTTTCTCACACCCGCTTGGTCTACAAGATCCACGTGTTTAAACAAGAACATATACGTCGCGCACTATTTTGGTATATTCGTGCTGGTATGGTTTGGTTGAGATTTCTCGAGTATTCAACACAATAGAATCCTGACCGAAAATCGCGATAGCGTGTGACGTGCAACCTACCACACATGTACAAATGTTGTACAAATGTTGATTTCCTACCGTTTTTTCTTGCAGTTGCTCACAGGTTGTCTAAGTCTTTGTCCAGGCAGAGGTGTAGTACCTCAGAAACGTGGACTGAGTACGTTAAAAAAAATGAAATATTGATGGTCTGCGACGCCTGAGTCTAGCACGCCGATCCCCAATAATATCTACTCTTTTCAACGTCGAGCGACTTCCAACTCACACAGTGCTTGCTAGGGATGCCAGTGAACCGTTGTGTCAAGTTCTGCAACAACCCGTTCTGTCATCTGTTGGCTGCAACAAGAGGTTGGATATCAACCGTCGAATGCAGCGCCGGTATACGGCCTATCCGGAATAACCGATGATACTGTGGAGGCCGAGGTTCGGGCTGTTCCAAAACGCCCTCAAGTAATCGAAACGTTCTACCACTACTTTGTATACATTGCAGGGGCCGCATTTGCGATGCCACTCCTCCCGTCAAGAATTGTATCAATCAAAGACCGTAGCAGAACATTGCCCACCACGAAACCGAGTGCGCACCCCCCTTCGGCTCCAAACCCGAAACACGCAGCAGGGGCAGAAGGGGCAGCAGCAGCAGCTCCTTGATGACTGGTCTCTGCGCGAGGACCCAACCACTGGTCACGCCTACTACCTCCACGACGCCACTCACGAATCGGTGTGGGCGGAGGCGGACGGTTCATTCCCTAGGGTGAACTGTAACGCCGCTGCTGCACGTGTCGGAGGAGAAGAGCACGATGGGGGAGGCAATGACGCGTGCGCGGATTGGGATGCCGGGATTGATCTCGGTGTTGGCGCAGCGGGGGCGAGGCCCGCGCCCGCCGCGTCCCCACCGTCGTCGTACACCCTGGAGCTCGGAGAGCATGGAGCTGAAGTCCCCAATGAAGGCAAGAAAACGTGATTCTGCAGTGCATTGGACCTTCATATTCTGTTTTTCGTACGACAAGATTCGTTGTTGTCACATGCCTGTGTACAGTAGTTGGATCGCAAGGCCGTAGTAAGGGTGATTCCTGTCGGCAGTCGTTGGACCATAGACGCTCGTGTTCCTAAGAGCCCAGCCAGAGGTAAGTCAGATGTTCGATGCACCAAGCTTCGGTCGCCGAGGTGCTTCGCGAGCCGCGCGAAGCAACATCCACATCCCAAGAAATTCCTCCTCTTGACCTCGCGTTTGTCGCGGCGCTCCGCACCTTAGACCACAACAGCAGCCCAATCTATCACTTTCCCCAAGCACATGGGGTGAGGGTGGAGAAGCCTTCTCACCAATACCCTTTGATGGGAGGAAAAGCCTAGTGTCGAATTTATCTGCTCCGCCCTCCATGGGATGTGAACGTTTCTTTTTTTCGGGTTGCGTCGTCTACGGGGTGCCCTCCTTGCCAAATCTTCTCGCAGAGGGACTGTCCGGGAGTGCGGACGGGGGCGAAGACAAGAGCATGCTTCTGTGTACCCAGGGGGTGATGTCAACGAACAACTTCTTTTCGGCGCAGCAGTTGGAGATCTTGCCGTCATCGTCCGGGGGCTCACCCATGGCCTCCGCGCCCCCAGCGGCGGAGAGCGGAGGCAGGAGGAGCTCAAACTCTCCTCTTCGTTCAGATGCCACCGGTGATGATGACAGTGTTGTCGTTGGTGTCGCTTACTATCGTCGTTGTTGCCTTTGTCGACGCTGTGTTCGTTGCCGTTTTTAGTTCTGTAGCTGAGGCTGCTGCCACGGCATTCATGTTCGAATCCACGTTTCCTCAACCCTCGTCAATTATAACAACGTTGCGATTGGTGTTTTTATCACCGCAGGTTTCGAAATCGCCACATATTCAACGAAAACCACCACGTCTTTTCGGACAGTTACAGTTGTTGGTGTGCCAATCTCTTCATGCCAGAAACTTCAAAAGGCGCATTACCCCAAGACACAAAAGATCGTTAGAGGTTAAGCCCTGCCCGCTAGAGGAGTGCATCGTCACGTTAAGCGCTGAATTATTGTGAGGAAACGAACGGCTACGTGAACACTTCCAGTAAATTCATCATCTCATTCCAGCCATGGGAAAACAAAGAATGACGAGACTTGTTCTTCCAGAAACAAGTGGCCTCAAGGAACCGGCAGGCTTCAGTCGTTTTGGAGCGGCTGGTCGTGGAAGGCTTTTCCCGTGAGAGGCAGAAGCAGAGAATAAGAAGGCCTGTGAGCCCCTCGCGCCGAAATGGGGCTTGTTTTTTGACACTGAGATATCTGATTCCGTCCTTACGTGTTTCACGACAGCTTCGACAGTTGTAATCATTCGCTCGCCCTCCTCGCCCTCCTCATCCCGCTCCCGATAAGTCACACCACACTTGCATCTCTCCCCCCCACCCCCTCGCATCACAGCGCCCACAGCCGGTGACGACAGCGAAAGTGAGTCCACCCTCGATGGGTGTAGCCCACATCAGGGTGGTGACCACGAAACCTACGACAGCAGCAGCCACTCCACGGGCAAACATTTCTCTACCAGGAAAAACGACCCCAACAACAACCTCGGCCACCAACTGCGACCAGAGTCATTCGCCTCATCTCCGCTTGGATACCATGACTCCGGGGGATCAGATTTCCCCCCGCCGGCTGTGGCCATTGGCGTGTGGGACACCGCAACGGAGGCCTTTCCGAGTTCGAACAATGGTTTCGGCGTTGCCGGCAACACTACTGATGTCATCTGTACTACACTGCCGCCGCCGCCATCGCAATCGCGATCGCAACCGGCGGAAAGGGAGGTGGTGGCGGCGGTGACGACCCAAACAAAGGCTGCCGCGAGGAACGGCGAAACGGAAACCCCGCACGATGATACCAACAAGCCCAAGCGCGAGACTCTCCTTGAAAGTTCGACGACAGCTGCGGGGGGAGGAAGAAGCGGCTTCTATCCAAAAGTGGTAGATAGGGATGGATACTCTAGATAATTGATCACCCTTGTGAGCGTACATGGGAAACGCAACGTGAAGGGACAACGGACTCAAAATGGGGCTGAAAGTAGGGAGAAAGAAATATGTGACCGAAGAAGAGAGGTGACTTGAAAGACGAACGAGCCAAATGTTCCGACCGACGCTGGCGTAGGTGTGGACAGTCATGCCGCCAACCCGGGACGCGGAGTTTCTCGAGGGGGCACCATACCCACGGGGGGAGGTAGTAATCCGGGCCATACATACAACGGATGTGGAGGTTCATTTTTTTTGCGGGTGCGTCAGAAGTCATCCTGACTGGCAACCACAATGAGGGCACGGCGATAGGTGGCGATTTGGGTATGACGATTACAACCGTGTCGGGGCATAAATAATAGAATATGGAAACACACATCATGCAAGCAACGTGTCGCGAGATAAGTTTTTCTCCGAAGTACGTATCGTGCAAACTTTTCGGCCTCCGCGGCAGATATTTGGTATCAGCTGCAATTAATTGTGCGGGTTGCCGAGATTGGTGGGCCCATGTTCTTGCTGGTTCCAACGAAGAAAGGAAAACCTCAAATGCATCCTTGAGCAACGACGAACGAGAGTAAATATTTCAGCAGCAGGAGCAGTAGATAGAGAAGGTCCCCACACACACGCATCCCAATCCCCCATCGGCCCGGAGGGTCTGGAAGTGCCCTTGACTATGGCGCAGTTGTTGTGTTTTACCTTCGCATCGATTCTCAAGACTTTTTCGGCGTGAAACCCTTTTTATGGACGGTCCGTGTGTTCCTTGTTTACTCGGGAAATGCAACGTAGACTACTCTAACTGTTTCGATATAACGTCATCACGAGAATACCTGAAAAAGGCCGGCGGCATTGCTTGAGAGCTTTGTTTCTCATTTTTTCCCTTGGATCGGTCTGGATGGGTGCCATCCATTTTGAACACAAACCAGTAGCTCGTCTTACGTGACTCGAGTCATTCGCCTAAGATTCTGAGTTCGTGTACGGTGCCCCGCAATGTTTTTCTTTGGGTCAAGGCTCATGCATTCATTCGGGGTGTCTTAACATCGTTTGCATTTTACAGTTCTGCGATTATGGAAGGGGGCACATGAAATTATCAGTGCCGCACGGTGCGCGGAGTGATCCGCAAGTTAGCTCAGAAGAGCCACGATTTTCGGACCACTCGGCCTGACGAGCCACATGCTGGCTAGCAGCTGATCCAAAATGTCCAGGGCGGTATGTGATGAAGCTTCCGACCGCGAGCCTCGGGGTGGCGGGGCGCCGGTCATCTCTCGGCGGTCTCCAGTGCCAGTGTTACACGCAGGGATAGGCAGACGCGGTGCGAATGCCTCATAGTATACCGCGCGGATACGCGCCTCATTATATTACCGCACAGACCGATTGTTTTGGAGGAGGGGTGTTTGAATAGCATTTTTGGGCAAACCCTTGGGGACGTGGCAACGCGGGATTCTTCGGAAGTTTTGCTTCATACCTACGGCAGTTCCTCACGCGGTGGATGCGTCCGCGGAATATACGCAGACGTTCGTGGAAGTCGCCCGCGGACGTCCACGGACGCGTTTTGCCAAATAAATAACCCACCGCCAGTTGGAAAGTGGACCTTTTAACGAGACAACGCGCGCAGATCATATTTTGTCTAGAATAATTAAAAATTGTAGTTAATGTCGACAATGAGTCTTTCTGTATGCATGCAGTACGTCGTCCGCTATGCACCTGTTCAACCAAGAGTACATGGTAACACAGCTAAAAAGAAGCTCATACAAAAACGCTTATTACACATTTTTTTCTCACCTGCGTAGTTGAGTACGGTATGTGCGCAGACCTTCGTAGCTGAGCACAGTTCGCGCGTAGACCGTTTCCTCGGGGCTGGGAATCAAGGCGATGCAGGTGGGTTGAGCTTACCTGTCTTCGCTGTCTCTCCTGGATGGTACCCATTTCTCAATTGGTATCAAGCAAGTATATAACCGATGCTCCAAACCCGGAATCGCACGCAAATGCTGAAGATACCTTCTTCTCAGAAGTACGGGCAGCTACTTTTTGTGGACTTTGCCTCACGCAGAGAACACAAAGCCGGCGGCCTGCACGGCCATGCGTATGCTGTAGACAGTTTTGATAACGGGCTGTGGCACTACGCTGGCCCCGTGGTTGGTTGGGGGTCCCTGTCTGGGGACATACTGTAGACCTTATTCACACTCGACCTCTTGGTGTACGCGATACATAATGTGAAATGGGCAGCAGGGAGCGGCAGGGCACAGACAAGTGCACGCAGACCTCCTGCGGCCCTTGCCCACGGTTACCATCATCGAATGAGGGCCATCAACGTGGTGTGCGGGTTTGTTGTTCTGGAGATGCATGTACATGGGGTTTGTTGTTCTGGAGGTAGACTATGAAAACGTCGGCAAATAGTGCTGTAGTGCGCCGTCATTCCTGACAGCCGGGTGCATGTTCAACACACGCCTTGTCCTTGCGGTAAGTGATGGCATACACAACACCGGTGTTGAAAGGGTGTGTATGCACTGCTGTCCGCCCGGGCTTTTACAAGATCGGGACATGGAATAGAAAAAATAATACCTGGAGTAGGCTCGTGCGTTGTTACCATTGGCTCGTTTACCACGCAGCAGCTTCGTTGAGTATGGGGGCGCCAGTGTGATTTACAGAGAGGGTGGTGTAATTCATCATCAGCAACGAGAGGGAGGGAACTAATGGGTGGCCATTCTTAGCACGGAAGGCACAGGTCGCACACTAGACCCTCCCGCACAAGTGTAGAGAGGCGTACAGCAGTACATCCTGCATCAATGCCGGTGCGTAGCAGCGTCAGCGTGTGGGTGTTGTTGGTGTGATGTGCCTCTCTCAAAGAGGAGGCCGCTGCCGCCAACTTGCTGCCGCTGCAACAAAAATGAACAAGAGCGTTGACCGAGAGACAGACCCCTAACCAAACGATTATCTCTCCTCTCGCCTCCTCCGCCGAAGCCAGCAGCAGTAAAGGTATGACCAGGCGTCCCGTCTCCAAAATAATTCCGCGGGGTAGTATTCACATGGCCGGGGTGCGGGTGGACCGATGCTCTGGCTGAGTGTGGCCGTGTCTTATATCTCAAATGTACGTGCTGCCCATCAAAAGTGTTGCGTGATACAGTCGTCCCCGCTTTAAAGACACCATTTTAAAGACACTCTCCGACCCCCCCCAGAAAATGCGCTGCAGCACCTGTAGATCCTGGATCATCAACAGCGGTCTGCTGCAGCCGCACACTGCGTGTGGGTGTATGAGAAGGTTCATTCCATCTGCTAGCGGTTCGTATGTTGCCGGCTTGAAGACGTGCCAGTTCAAACCTGCACTCTGCCAGCGGTGGTTCGACGAAGTCTTCGTCCCCTTTGTCAAGAAGACGACTGGGAAAGCTGGCTCTCTTGTGGAATAACTGCCCAGGCCACCACATCAAGAACGACGACCCGCAAATCGTCATCATCTTTCTGCCCCCCAACGTCACGTCCGTCTTTCAGCCTATGGTCATGGGGATCCTGTTTGCTCTCAAGTGCCAGTACAAGACGGAGATGGTGATGAGGTTGGCGGCCNGTTCGTATGTTGCCGGCTTGAAGACGTGCCAGTTCAAACCTGCACTCTGCCAGCGGTGGTTCGACGAAGTCTTCGTCCCCTTTGTCAAGAAGACGACTGGGAAAGCTGGCTCTCTTGTGGAATAACTGCCCAGGCCACCACATCAAGAACGACGACCCGCAAATCGTCATCATCTTTCTGCCCCCCAACGTCACGTCCGTCTTTCAGCCTATGGTCATGGGGATCCTGTTTGCTCTCAAGTGCCAGTACAAGACGGAGATGGTGATGAGGTTGGCGGCCCTCATCGAGGACTGGGATACAGCGCGTGCGCTCAAAATCCGAAGGTAAGACTGTGTCATGGGGGCGGCGAAGGTCGTGATTCGTTCTTGTGGCTGCGGGTTCAGTTGTGTTGGTGCTGGTCAGGCGAGTGTTGTTCGATAAGTGCAGGCATGTACCGGATTACTACTGTATGTAGGCGAGTGCCATTCAACAGCAGTCAACAGCACTAGTGCTGCCTTAAAAAGGTCTCCGATCAAAATTTGCCTGCCCTACACCGCATCCAGCGAAATCCACTCGCTCTCTGGTGATTAACAATCTGTCCTTTTTTTTTTACCCTCTTCGTCGACGCCAATGAGAATACCCTTACTCCGTTGTGAGCAAAGGTCCCTGAAGTGGTGAATAACCGTTCACCGACGGAAGTAACTTCGCTCTTATTGCAATGTGGCAAGGATGGCCAAGCGTGGCTGACGTTAGTCAGCCTTGCTAGGGTGGAAGGTGAGAGTGAGCTTTTTGGGCTCGCTTCTACCCTCCGGCTGGTCACAGCAGACGGAGGGTCTTCTCGTTGTAAAGATCTTCAGACCACGAGAACGTCGTTCCTGGGGTCACCGGATCTATACGGTTGAATGTGCGTCCATACTACTGGGAAGATACCTATATCCTGGTTTCCACAGTGTTCCTTGCATCATTGTTTCACAGGGGCTACAGGGGCCTGAACGACGCAGGCCAGCCGACAATGCTGGATGTGACGGAGATCCCTTCCCAAAAGTGGGAGAGCGTTTCGGACCAGACTGTGATCAGGTGCTGGCTCAAGGCCACCATTCTTCCTGGGGAGCACGAGAGCGCGCTCAAGGACAAAGACACGCGGTTGGACCAAGAAGACCCGGGGGCGGCCTCCCTGGACGACCTGTGCGATATGGTCGAGAAGATGTCCATGGCGGAGAGTGCCAAGGACCTGGACGCTAGGTCTCAGCCGCGAGTGTTGACGGAAAACTTGTTCGTCGAGAGCGCCTCTGGCCTCACAGGAGAAGAAGTGCGCAGCGCAATGCGCACTTGGCTTAGTGTAGAGGACGATGAAGAGGTCTTGAGGGATGAGGTAGAACTCCATTGGAAGAGGTAACGGAGAACATGTCAAACGTACACGTCGAGGAGGACATGTCCAGTGAAGAGGAAGGCGATCACGGTAGGCCAGTCGTGCATAAATCTACGATTTCAGAGGGCGAGGTTTGCTCTCGTCTTGAAAATGTCCGCTCTTACTTGTACACACATGAAAGAGACGGCGAGTACAGCGAAACGGCGTACCTTCTTTCAAAGAATGTGCATTCGTTTACTCATGAAACTCAGGTCAAGCGAAGAGCAAAGGAGGGTGGGGAGGTGCAGCCGACTGTTCGGGATATGTGGTGGGTGTAGTTTTTGGTTTCGAGAGCAAAGCACTTTTATTGCCAACGTTCGTTGTTCGCCTTGGGTGAAGTCTCGTGAGGTTGAATTTGGCGTTTGTGTTGTGTTGTGCCTCGTTTTGACCTTTTGGGAGGCGCGGTGTACTCTTTGTCGCTGTGCTATCCCGACATCTTTGGTCTCTGTGGTTCTGCGTAACCTACATTTTCCTAGTGTCGTTTTACAACCTTCGATATTTCTCAGGTGCGGTAGCGAGATCTTGGGCAAGATATTCACGGGGAGGACAACACCTAAAAAATAAATAAAGCAAATAATTAAGCCCATATCAACACCAGCGCACTACCGTCGTGTACATGTACGATGCGTAGGTCGTAGAACACCATCGCTTTCAGCGTTTTGGTCGTACAGTATGGGGAAATTCAAGCGATGGTATGCAAGTATGTACTGCAGCATAATAGCAGCAGTGGTTGCGACCTTCAAATCACCTTGTGTCGTAGGTTTNACCTAAAAAATAAATAAAGCAAATAATTAAGCCCATATCAACACCAGCGCACTACCGTCGTGTACATGTACGATGCGTAGGTCGTAGAACACCATCGCTTTCAGCGTTTTGGTGGTACAGTACNATGACGTATGTTCCGCCTTCATTGCCCCCGGGGATGGTGCGCTAGTGGCCCCGGAATTTTAAAGACACTTCCCCGCGTTAAATGACACTTTTTTGGGGGGGGGAAACGTGGTGTCTTTAAAGCGGGATCGACTGTAAATTTAACGAACATATCCCCAGGGAGTTTCGCCTCAAAAGCGCCAACGAGGCATTATGGGAGTACAAGACGCAGTTGACCACACCGGACCTCGCTATGCGGACACATCTTCGAGTCATCTATGGGAAATCACGATCAAGCCGTCGTTTCATAGACTAGAAGCGCCTCGCGGTTGCTATTGCAGTTGAAGTGCCCGCAGGTATGGTGGGCCTCGGCGAGTTCGAGGTTTTGCTATGTTAATATTTTGCTATCCCTAACACCCTGGAGAGGGAGCCTTTTGGCTCTTATTCTGCAGGGCAGTTAGACTATTGGGGTAGTCTTTGGATGTGTGCTCAGTCGCCCATGGCTTTGCGGGCGGTTTTGGCCTTACAGTATATGCAACAGCAACGAGCCCTGTACCTGAGAAACATGCCGCATTCTCCCAGAATAGGAAGGTCTTGCCGGGTGCGATTAGCTTGGTGAAGTTTCAAGGATGGGGAGCAGCGGTGGTGGTGCGTGACGACTGGGGTAGAGTATCATCAAGGTGGCGAGTAAACACGACTTTGTACATACTTTGCCTGTACGCCGGTACGCTGTATGCATAGACTAGTCTATGTAGCTGCCTGTGTGCAAAAGCACCTGTCGGCGAGATTCGGATCGGCTACGGGACATGCACCCTCGCTCCTGGGTAATCAACTATATTGTCACAGTCCAAAGTTCCGTGTTGGTTTTGTGTGATGACGTCGTCACCGGTTTTGTAGAGATATCCGTCAGAGATGGCGTGGCTAACCCGGGTGCCTTGGTTTTGTGCCTGATCGTGGAAGACCCCTTCAATGTGGAACGATTCTTAGCTACTGTCGATATTTTTCACTGCAGTGCCTAACACAGACGATCGGGAGAGATTCGGATGATTGTCAATTGCTGCTATGATGGCCTTGGTTGGTTGTTCTTTTTCACTGTACGGCCGCAGACACATTCTGACAGCACTTCAGACAGCAGTATGCTGTAGACTAGTCGGCAATCTTCCGTTTTGGTATACAGTGGGACAGGGAGGGGGTGATGCTACTGTAGTCGAACGGAGGGACGGACGTGCAGTTCAGTTTTTGGGCACGCATACGGTGCTGCAGGGATTTTTAGGTGTACCTCTTCGGGCTCTTGGATACCTTTTTCTCGTTATATGTGTGCGTGTTCTTTAGATCCTCAGATGGCTCTAGCACTTTCGTGACCACGGGCTGAGAGTCTTTTGCTAGATTTTGGCATTTAGCAACTGACATACGGTTTAATGTGANTATGTGTGAGTGTTCTTTAGATGAGTTTAGATCCTCAGATGGCTCTAGCACTTTCGTGACCACGGGCTGAGAGTCTTTGCTAGATTTTGGCATTTAGCAACTGACATACGGTTTAATGTGAAGACACCAACCAAAGTTCAAGCCTTTTTTAATATTGCTGCACACGACCTCCCTCGGCCTGCCTTTTGACCACCAGCACCCGGACGCTTTCGATGAAGATGCCAGATGGAAGCGATTCAGGCGGCGGAACCCGGCCGGGCGGTGGCGTCAAAATGCCCGAACCAGGTTCAGATGTTCAGAACCAGGTTCTGAATAGTCTAGATTATCAGAATCGTCTCAGCGGCTCCGCGGCTCCGCGGCTCCGCGGCTCCGCGGGATCATTTGTAGCCTGCAGCTCTCACAGCAGCCGTGACCGGACTTTGAGACTGGTCTCGCCTTACGGCAGGGGGGGGGATCGGTTTCTATAGAAACTGTTCTTCTGAATAAGTATGTGTAGCAGCAGACGGTGGGAACACATAGTCCAATAGGCAACATGTGCGTCTAGCGAATAATAAACACTTGGATCACCAAGACGTTCTCGAGGCGTTTCCTGGATACACAAGGAGGCGTGTTTGTTTGTGAAGAGAGAGAGCTCTGCACCAGCTGCACACACGGCCGCCGGGGCATCGAGATGAGGCTGCGCTTTCGGGGTCCGTGCTGGGATGATGGCGAAGCTTCCGTGTCAGCAATGCCGACCGCTGTAACACTGAGCACGGCCCGATCCGGAAGACCTTCGAACCCGCTGCAATCGCTCCGCCACTTGCTGCAGAGTGAACGACGTCCCGCGCCTCGTTCGGCTATTGGACTACTTGGTACCAGGGTGCCACCAAGTGCCGACCTTGCATCATGGTCGTGTGCTGCAGCTATCAAGCAAGGCTGGGCTATGCAAGAAAGGGACCAGCCGGGATCGAAGGAGCAAGGACGTGATGACAAAGCCACACCAGCCGGGTGTCCCTTGCAGTCGGTGCGCTGAATGTGGCAGAAGTTGCCTCGCTCTGCGTTCTTTTGACTCTATCGTTTTCCTTTGCCACATGAGGGAGCTTCGAGCTTCAGTGAATGTGTCAAGGCAGTTATATCGAGAAGGTGTCTGAAACACCTCAGTTTAATGGTCAAGCACGCTATAGTTGCGTCAAACTTGCCTTCCCGGAGAGCTGCACGCACGTACCTGGAACGTAACACAACGATTTTCTAAAATTCACTCTACCATCTCCAGGGCGATACCATCAAAAGCAGTCCACCGGTGGAATCGGGGGACATCGCGGCCAAGTATCCCCAACAGCATTCGCTCACTCAACCGCTGCCAGAGTCGCCAACCTGCTGCGTGATCATTGGCGACCCGACCTCAGCGCTCACGCCCGAGTTGTCTTTCCCCAAAGTGATGTTGACCGACCGGGTTCATAGAGAGGCACTCTTTTCGGTGACACAAAGCATGCTGAGCAACACCATGAGGCTACCTTGGCCGACAGCTTCCTCAAGCAAGAGTGCTCAGGGTCGGAAAGGTATCACCGCTCCAGCTGACGGTGTCGGTGCCGGGATATCTTTGCTCGAGCTTGTAGCCAGCCACGAGGGCAAGGCACTGGAGCCACCCTGTCCTTCAACGGTGAAACCAGCACGAGGGAGAGCGGAGAAGGTACGATACAAGCGGGGACATAGATACGGTCGCCCCGGTAGTCTAGTGCGTATCCTCGCAGCCTGCTATGGGCCAGGTCATGGGTTCGAGCCCCGACAGAGTGAGATTTTTCTCGCTAATTTAATCCTGGTCTCCGTTGGAAGCGACGCGCTGCAAGAGTCTTTGTTAGTAAGCTTGATCGACTTCATACGTCACGAGGGAAGGGATTGCTGTACCCTTCTCGCGATAAAAATATCTCAGGCAGGAACCGCAGGAGGGGGTCCAACCCCCCCCTCCTGTGTGACCCCGGTTGGGTCGTCTAGCTGGTAGAAGTGGAGGATAGGGGCCACAGGGGCAGACGACAGAGTCCAATGATGGGAGAAAAAATAATACATGTATACATACATCAGTACATTCTTTGCAGTACACGTTTCTGAAAATGAATGTTCCATACCCGATACGGCAGGAAAAGAACCGTTCTACAGAGGCAAGTTAGGGTTGACGTCGGCGCACCCAATTCCCCACGCTACTGGCAAGTTTGCTATACCGCCCGGGCAGCCCATGGGCCACCCATGGGCACATCATGCGCTACCCACAAGCTGCTCATGAGCTGCCCATGGGTGGACCCATGTGCAGCCCATGAACTGCTCACGAAGTGCCCACCGTGGGAGCACTTCAAACTAGAACTTCGCCACCAGCATATCAACCTACTTAGAACTTCGCCAACGGCACATCAACCTAGAACTTAGCCACCCAGCGCCAGCCTATCACGTATCGTGTGGGCTTGGGGTTTTAGGGTTAGCGTTAGGGTTTTTGCTGTAATAATGCCCCGTCCACAGCCGACAATTTTGTTTTGGAGTACAATGGTTCCGGTTGAAGGGCATTCATTGACGGTCCATGGGGTTGCCCGTGGGCATTCCCCATGGGTGCCCCGTGGGTGGTTTAGCAACACTGTAGAAAGTGTGGGAGATCCGGCGCACCTCATCGAAGCAACTGTAGCTATTGTCCTTGTCCCAACCAGCAAACAAGCACATTCGAGCTGGGTACACTCTTTTCATGCTATTCTTAGCGTCTCGCGAACAGTAGTTGCAAAATGAAGACAACTGTTGAGTGAATGACAAACGTGCCCTGCGACCGCAACATCAACAGCAGCTGCAGCATCACTTTGAGGCGATCACACTGGACCTGGATGAGGACGCCTCTGTGCTGCTCCGGAAATCGTTTCCCGGCGTTGGTAACAGCTGGGATGCTGGCGATACGTATGGCTCTTCTACGCTCTACAAACACCACAGCACTATGAACACAGAATGCCCGGCGCCTCCTTCTGTTTGGAGAGATCTTGGTCTTGGCAGGCTTCTGAAGGTTATCATCCACCGATGAGTTCATACTTTATGCAGCGTTCGACCAAGATCCAGGATTGGAGTGTAGGTTGAATGAAGCGACAACATACAACGCATACGTCTGTTGACGGGATTTTTCCTCCGCGGACTCACTCTTGATGTCGAAACGTGGGGAAGGTTACAATTCGACCAATCACTTCCAACACCATATATAATTGTACCAGGCAATATTATCGCCCCCCGTCATGAATAGCCGAACCATGAAACATATTGGGCGGCAGGTGTCCCGTCACCTCAATGTTCTGTTTGACGAAAAGATTTCTTCTGGTGCGTTTTAATCCCATGATTTGCCTGTTTTTGTCATGAAGGAATCCTGGTTGAATGTGTCCTGTGCTGCGCATGGCTGTCAGCTGGTGGCAACCGTTAACCGTATGAAATCACACAAATTCAACAGGCGCGGCCGATTGAGCAGCGCCGCCGCCGTTCGGCTGTGATGGATAGGAGCGATCTATCCTGGGAGTCATGTAGAGAGCAACCGTCGACGCGCATTGAATTCTCCCCTGAGTCTGGAAAACAATCGGACAAGCCGTCATCGAGAGGTCGCGATAGAGTTGCTAGCGAGGCCGAAGGTGGGGCCGCTTCAATCTTTGGAATGGTTGGCCAAACGTCCAGCGGCCCCTCCGATGTGGTGGGGCGTGGTTTCCATGTCTTCACAAGGTGCGTCTTCCCATTTTCGGCCAAAGTACAGTAAGTTCCCCTCAATACCCGACGAAGACAAGCTGCACATTTGCGCATAGTCCGAGTGTACTTTGTAGATGGCTATCTAAACAGTGTGGAGTATCGGGTTTATTGAACCTGTGTGGTTTAGTTCCGCGCCAACGTGTGGCCTTGCTGTTCTCGGAGACCGCCTAGATGATGTGGTATCTTCTTGTACCTTTTGGCATACCACAATGCCGCGTGTGCATCCTCGGCAACGAACATTTGGGCAGCTGTTCCCGAGGTCTGAACCAGAGATTTTTTATGGTGACTAACAAGACGTTGCTTAACACGCCCGCAGCAAGTAGCATAGCACCGCGGTTCCTTCGGGGATTTTCGGCGTATTTCCTTCGCTGCTGCTGGTGGCATGACGAACGGAAAACATTTTATTGGACGGGAAGCGCAGTCCTTGAGCTCCTGCTGCATTTCCATTTGTAGCCTGGATTCTGTTTGCATCTTTCTGAACCCGGAAAGGCCCGCTTCTTTTTGCGTTGAAGAACTTCGACCACTGAACATCCAAACAACAATATAGTTCATGTTGGTTTCTTCGCTTCCTCTGGAAATTTTTTCCGACGTTTTGTGTGTTACACTGAATGTCCGCGACGTTGCCACCCTGGTACTATTCTTGCGTCTGCATTTTTGCAGCGGTTGTTCAGAACCAGGATGGACTTATACGTCCCCCCTTGCATATCTAGCAGCACCTGAAGGATGGCTAGAGTATGAAACACGAATGCTGGATGAAAGGTGATGCATGGTATATCTGACGAATTTATAGTCAACGATGACAACATCATCAATAACAACAATAATAACAACAACGGCAGCAGGACAAGCATGCCGGGGCCGAACTGTGATGAAGAGCTGAGGCTGCACGACCCTTCACCACCCAAGCGCTTTGGACTGCTGCATCTACTTGGGAACTTTTGTCGTAAAACTCCGGTAGGTCGGCCTGTTTAACAGCGAACAGGTGATAGCTTTTGCAGGGTGTGGGCCATAGGTGCGCGTGCACCTATTGCCAGAGGTCGCTTCATCTCTCAAGGCGGGGCGAATGAAGGTAGGCCCGCGTGCACACATAGCTAACCTTCGATATAATGGCCGTACTCCACACTGACAAAGCTCTGGATCCAACGGCTTGCTTTGCCGAATTTGCTGCGACAGCTTGTTGCCGTTGACAGGCTCAGGTTCCATCAACTAGCTGACGAACACCATCGGCGCGGTTTCGAACCGGCCAGCAGTCTGAGTGTAAACGCCGGTCCCCGTTCCCTGTTTCCGGGGTGCTCTCCATCCATTCCGATTACCAATGTTGCCGGAGGGCCAAGGACCGGGCCAAGAAGCCAACCGCGTCAAGAACTGGGGTTGGGATCGCGTCAGAATCATCGGTTGGGTTTGGAAGGTGGCGGTGACAACGGTAGCCGGCAGCGAAAAAAAAGCCCGCTCGTGCTCGCTCGGTTGTTTGCAGAGCTCCGAAAGGTACGTCCATGGTTGGCAAACGATGATCGGATAGAATGAGTCGTTTCGGCTTAGAATGCTGACATGGTAGGCAGTTATGGGGCAATGGCCTGGCGTAGGTTGTGATAGTATGGTGACTGTTGCCTCCTCAACACACGCGAGGTGAAGATGAACATGTGTTCAGCCAATATCCTGTCGTGTCCTTGAACGTACTGTGTTGCACGGTTACTCTTTATTACTCCTTGGTCGTTGTGGGCGGGTTCTGCCAGGAGAAGTGTGTCACGCTTTTGAAAGGTGTTCTTCGGTTGTGCGGTGCCTTGTATCCTCGTGCACGTATCAAATCCTCTCCAACGCATCGGACTGTCATCCCAGATGGGATGCACCAAACCAGGCCGGGTGTCATCACAGCAGTCACTTCTACGGGAGCTACCGCCCCACCAGCACCTCGCTACTGCACGGCAAGGGCAGCACATCAACGCGCTCTTCAGCGAAAATCCTGTTTCAAGGGCCCTGTACATGGGGAACACGACGAAACCGCATGAATCGGTCACCGCGACAACGGACAAGTTGCTAGATAGCATACTGGGTGAGCGTACCATAGTGTCCGGAGTGCGTTGGTATCTTTGGTTTGTTTTGAAATGTCGGCGGTGGGAGAGCAGCTTCTTTGCTCCACACCCGTGCACCTTGTGTGTGAACTATTAGCCCCCTAACGCAATCATGGCACAAGGATGGCAAAGATCACTCCCTTTTTTGGATGTTCGGAGTAGCTCCACGGCGAGACATTCACTCGACATCTATGCTGCCAGCTGCTGCCACAGCTGCTTGTACTGCTTCTTCTCCTCGTGCGGCCGCACGCGTGAGTCCGCGTTTTTTTATGCCGTATGTATCATTGCCTTGTGAGTCACTGCTATGGAAGGAATTGTTCCAGAAAAGCTTCGTTGAAGTAGATGTTTTCCCAGCCCGCGATGCTCCATTGCAACCAGCAGTTCACGTACTTCCAGCTGTCAGTGGTTTCTCTCCACGTCGTCTCTAGAGATCAACAAGACCATTTTCCCCAACAACATGTGTTGGGCAGCATCCTGGCGGAACACGCATTCTCCTCTTCCCGCCGGCAATGCCCAAGATCCGCAGCAGCGGGATCCATCAAACCACCCAAAGGTGGCCCGGGCAAGAAGAGCCCTTCCACCGTCGCTCCCTGCCGCGATGCCAGCGGGGTCCTACCAGCGGTTGCAACCTGGGACAAAAACACCTCTGCCATCGCAAGTAGTTCCGAATCCCCTCCGAGAGCAAGCGCACGGAAATCCAATCATGAACGCAGTGCGGAGCCCGCAGGATGCACCACCCTACGAGGGAACACCACGGCGTAGTGACGCACCGGTGCACGGCGGCTTTTTCTCTCTGCGACCCATTGGTGAGGTTCTAGGAGGTGTCGAGCCTTTTTCTCAGCAGCTTCCTCGTGGGTCAAACCTTGTCGCTCAGGAGGAAGGCGGTGGGGGCATAGTCGGTGGGGTGAGCACGGCGGCAAAATCAGGGGCAGCTCATTCGAAGCATGTCGCGGTTCGAGCAGCAGTGAAAGCAGTCGAGCATGAAAACTCAGCTGTGAGTAAGAGAAAGCTTGGCGAAGTTATGTGGGGCTTTGGTGCAACACCCAACCGCACGAAAGGTCGAACATCGCCTCCACCTGCCCCCATGGCGGTAGGAAGCACAAGTGACTCTACGGGAAGGATGACCACGTCGGATGGATGCTCTGCCTTGGTCAGCCATGGTTATTGTTTGGGACCGGGAGAGTCGTTGACTGTGGGTGATGGCAGTGAAGGCAATGCAGGCGCTGTTGGCAATACCGCACCGGTGGAAGCTTTGGGGTCGCTCTTCGTGGCCGCTGGGCATCCCCACCAGCAAGCGGCGAAAAAGACTGGAGGCGAAATGCCCACTCAATCTAGTCACCGTGCCCAAGGTGGCGGTGACAATCCCCGGGCGGTTGCAGTCGCCACCACTGCCGCCAGCAGTCTCCCCAGCACGAGCCAACAACCCCAAGTTTCAGAGGAGTCTTGCACTGTTATGGTTTCCGATACTCCCGAGTTCGTGAAAGATTCGCACCAATCTGGGGAGATTCGGTCTGTTGGGTTGGATTCGCGGGACACGACAACGAGAAAACGGGTGGTGGGCAACTCCACCGGTGCACATCTCTCCGAGCCGAAGCACGTATCCAATGGGGCGCTTGTCTCAGAGCCGAACCACGGGCATTCTCCGCGCGGTGCCGTCTCGGAGTGTGACCAGGGATCCGCAGGTTCTGCCAGATCCCTAGCTCGGCATGCAGTCAGATCGCCGTCGGTGCAGCAAGGTGGTACTACCACCGCACGCCCTGACCGGGATGCGAACGGTTCTCGGCGCCTGGTGTCGTCCACGGAGCGGGACAATCGTTCGCATCGTGCGACGTCAGTGGGCCCGGCCGACTTGGTGTCGACGGGGACGGCAATTTCTTCGATGTCGACGATGGTCAGGCAGGAGGGATTGCCGAGCGGTAGAGGGCCCGAGCAAGAGCGAGAAGAAGACGCCGCGATGGCAGGTAGGTCAACGGGGAACTCGCTTGGGATGCTCGGCAGGTTTGCCGCTGGAACTGTTGGCGTCATGTGTGCATGGACATCACTGTCCCTTTGGTTGAGCAACACCGACGACTGACTTGGTCGTGGTCGGCCTCAGATGAGCTGCGGCCACCTGTGTTGGCATTCCTGCTAGCTACGAGGGGTAGCATTTAAAGCGCGAGGAGTGATTTCTCCATTTATGAAACTAGCAAATAGGATGAGCAACAGCTGTTATCGTCACTTTACAGGCTGTGAATCGACTCGGCAGCGCGAGATCCTTGCCTTGATCCGGGCCGGTTCTGTAGGAGAAACCTTCCTCCTTTCGAGGAGGCGACACTCTACCTCAGGTATGCGTGTAGTGCACCATACCCCGCGACACTCTACCTCAGGTATGCTTATAGTGCACCATGCCCCCTCATTACCGAGGAGACGGTTTACCTCTAGCAGGAGACACACCAAATTTCACCCGGAGAGGAGCGGAAAGTAACAACGAAAACGGCGCATTTTGTGTTTCGCTGTCGATGAAAGCACCATTAGCCTTGAGCTCAGGATTTCGTGGCAGGTGCGCGACAGGGTGAAACCATGCAAATTTCTATGTCTTATTGCTCCTGCACTTAGCCTTTGGAACGATGTTCGTTAAGGTTATGGCTGGCGGGAAAGGAGCCGTTTGTTGTGCGCACGTTAAGCTGCCGAGAGGCCATTCATGGCTGAATTTCACCCCATCTTTTGTTGGATACATATGTTCCTGAGTGTAGTTATCTCTTTCGGCGCAGGTACTCCATCGGACCCAAGTAGTGAAATCTGTTGACAATTTCTCAACTCCAGACCAGTAAAATACAACCCAGGGTTGTTATTAATCGGAGGTATGATCACCTGGCGTCTCTGAAGAATGAGTGCCATGTATCACTGGACATCCTGTACACTCGATCCGGAAAGGTGCCGCGGGGAAGAAACGGCAGCTGGCTTCGACGGCCACCGGAACAATGACACCACGGCGGCATTCCGAGCCCAGCGGCGGCGGTGCTATCAACAGCTTTTCCGCGTCAACATCTAGGGGCGGCGTGTCTCTCCGATCCACAACATCCAGTGCGGTATGACTGCTTTCGGCGACCACAGTACTCAGAGGATGCAGTAGACGAACAATATGGCTTCGAGGCATTGAGTTGAGACAAATCTTAGCAAGTCAGCGTCTTGTCGTTTGCTCCGACTAGGCGGACTTCGATATTTCTACAAGTTCAAGAGTCACCCACTCGGGATTCTCCAACTCAAACAGACATCCCATCGTCAGACCCCTACCCCAGAGTGCCTCACAAAACAGTTCTTTGTGTGTCTAACGCTGATCAAGATGGTGTCCATCCTTAGCAACGCTCCCCTTAACAATGCAGGCTTACTCGACTGACTTCAGGACATGCCGTTAGTATGTTCGTTGGGGCTGTCGCCAAGCTTGAAACTAATGTCTTGCAGTCAGCCGTCAGTTGCCCCGCCCTAAGTCATCTTGTCTGTCGACTCGGCATTTTCAAGAAGACAATGCCCTTTCCTTCGACAACCGGTGTGCTCACCATTTCTGAAATTTTCAAGGTGTTTTCGTTTCCATGATGTTCTCGAGCGCGTTGTGCCTCCATAACATACGTTGACCGGATGGCCTACTATTGTTGCGCCAACACTTGCCTATTGTTCCCAGGTCGGGAAGCAATTCGACAGACCACTCTACGCGGTCGTGTCGGAGGACTTCGTGAGTGGCGCGGGCAGCATGGTTCGTACCCTATCGGCACCACAAGCGACGCCTAGTGCTATCAGTACTTCGCGAGTGGCGCAGGAACCCATCGCGTTTCACAGCAAAAGACCGGAGGTGGCAACTACTGCAGCCGCCACTGCTGCGAGGGCTTCGACTGCGGTTTCCCGGCGTGGCGGACGGTTTCACCTGCTGGAGCTCCCGGTGGAGGGTCCCGTAAATATGGTCATTGGAAACAGGTGAAACAACGGACAGGTTGTTCTCGACGCGGGTTGATGTAGTTCCGCGACCAGCAGCGAAGTTGTCCTCGTATTGGAACACGTGGGGATCATTTGTCCACACGTCCAATTTCCGATGTTCACTCCCTTGCCTGGAAACGATTGACAGGCCTTGGTACGCAGCTTGCCTCAAAAGTGACCACGAGCGCCAACAATAGAATGTCAGGCGACAAAACGAACCAGAAACCGCACAACTACCGTAGGTTGCATAAGATATCACACTTTCAATAGATACCACACACCCTCAGAATACGTACACAACACCGCACCGGTGGGCTATTTTTTTCAATTCCGAAAAAAATGTCATTTTATCACACGGTGACATAAGACACCACACCCCCTGAAGTTGGGCCGCACATTTTCGACGGAGCCCCCGCTTATCACACGGTGTGACAACGTGAGGGCATGAGATCACAAGCAACAACCTACTCGCAAAGGCCATGGAGACCAACAATGCCGTGGAGGGTGGTGCAGTAAGCAACCCTGCTGAAAGCCCCGCGGCTCAGACTGCAGTGGGTAAGACTCCAGCGGCGGCCCCACGCCCCATCGCGTCATTCTTTCAACCCGCCCCGGGGGGACGTGGGGCTGCTGGGACGACTCCCTCAGCAGCCGCGCATGACACCGCACGTACTGCTGAGGCCCGCCCAACAGAATCTACCGCTGCTGAGACTCCCACAGCACCGACTGCGCCTGCCACGGCGGGTGTCGCTGAAACCTGCCAAGCAGAACCTTCTGCTGAGACTCCCGCAGCACCGACACCCGCACCCGAAAAGGCAACTCTCCCGCCAATCACCAACACCCTGAGCGCGGCTACTGCTGAGAACCCTGCAGCACCGCGCTGCGGAGAACCATCGTGCACCAACCAGCCCTTGTTATCACACCCCCTTGTCTTCACCCCCCCTGTGAGCTGGGTCCTGTGAGCGCGCTTCATCACACGGGCGACGGTATCACACCCCATTGCTATCACACACCCTTGTTATCGCACCCCCTGTTAGTGGGGCTCTGTGAGTGCACTTTATCACACTGGTTACATAAGATATCACACCTCCTACAGAATACTTAACCCGTGTGATAACTTGTGTCTCCCCGAAAGTGTTATCACACGGGTGTAATATCTTATGCACCCTACGGTATTGATAGCAAGGGGCGAATACAGCGAGAGTCGTCGAGGGTAGATGTAAGTCTTTTCAAGGGCTCGCATCAGGTCAATACAGACCATGTGTATGACCAGCGAGCGATGGCGATTGCCGTTGTGTTGAAGAGGAACGTCACAAGCACGGCCGCAGCTACGATGCAAACAAGCCTAAGCAGAGCGCAGCGGAAACTGGCCGGAGATAATCACGCCGGTGCTCTGTGGGGCCATTGGTGTAGGACGAACGGTTGTTGTAGTCTGTCATTGGCTTGTAGCCCGCAAACGAGTCATGGCAAAGTCTGGGAATCGACAAGGAAAGCTCGAGCACTCCTAAGTTCATGTTCTGGAGGATGAAGTTCTCGCCTTCGATGAACAAGATCCGAAGAGCATGCGACAAGTGCTGGCGTGCGGATGAAATGCTTTCGAACGGTAGCGCAACTTGTTGAACGGCAAGATTTGACATGAAAATTGCGGAACGCCTTCGACAAGCAAGCGTGAACACGAACGGAGGTCCGGTCGGTCGGCCTCTTTCGTTGAGAGCAGACGTAGAATGAAGTTCGAAGTCTGCTGGACATGTGCCATTTCAGTCCGCAGCTGTCGAGTACGTGACTGGTCTTGACTGGGTAGTCGCAGCCGTCGCCGTACGAAAGTTCTTGACGCCCTTTGCAGTACAACGAAACCGGGCGCGGTTGCCTAAAATTTCTCTTTTGCCTTCCTTTATTTCATTCTCGGTGGATGGGACGAAACTAGATACAGTGCGGCGAAGTGACCAAATTCACACATCTCACTCGTCGTGCGGAACCTTCGAAGCGCTTTGGTGGAGAAGCGGCGGCGGTTTTAAGTTTGGACACTATACTACACTCAGTTTTCCCTCGTGTTTTGTTCCATGCGGTGATAGGAGCGCCATCGTCATCCTCGACAATCGCAGAAGAGGGACAGGCGCAGCGACCGCCTCAGAAGGAGTCGCAGCTGCTAGAAAGGCGTCCCGGGGCGATAGATGGGGGGGCGAGGGCGATGCGATAGTTTGCCCCGGGGGTGACAGCGGTGAGTACAAAATCACTCCTACAGAATGGCCTTCCTCAGGCATCACACCCAATCGCGCCAGTTCCTTGTTTCGTATCCGGCGAGAACAGTCATCAAGTAGGCATTGAATGTGAATTGGCCAGACGATCGGGGACTGTTTAATCTTAACCGGATCTCCACAAACGGATCAAGGTTCTTTGTTACCGCTATGTGCCGGGATTCAAGCCGTACAGATCATGACGTTTCAATGCTTCCAACAAAAGGTTAACAGATTGACCTCCATCGCGGCTTATGCCGTACACATTTCTGTGAGTTTGAATTTGTTGTTCACCTGTTTCATTCGCCATCGGTCGAGTAAGGCGGAGGATCGTCTGACGGGGCGGACGGTGAGGCGGCGGCAGCAGCAGCTGAGGAAGCATCAGTAGCAGCAGAGGAAGAAGCCGAGGTGGCTGAGGCAAAGGAAAAACTCCGCCTCCTCCAGCTGCAATCGCTCAAGTACTCCACGCTCTGGCTCATCGTGCAGGTGAGAAAACCTCGAACGTTCGCAAACCTGGAAAGCACGCCAACACATGACACGTATGCAGAAGTGAGTGGGATTTCAAGACAAGGCAGTCGACAAGACATATCACAAACGAAAGACCAGTGCACTTTCAGTTTTCAAATCTATACGAGGTTGGCTTGTGTAACGGTTTGCCAAGCGCGTTGCAATTCCCTCAGTTGGACGCATTTCCGCGAGAAGCCACTCGCGACTATAGGAGTGAGCACTCGAACCTCCGCTCGTTGCAGCATCTGGAGCAGAGATGGCATGCTGCGCAGCTCCTAGCTTTTCGTCCCCCGTGATGGTGGCCAGAGGTTCGCAGCATTCGTTCAATGCACAATGCAACACGTGTAGAAGAATCTGTCTGGTGGGAGAAGAGGAGCTGAGGAATCCCTACGGAGTGCGAAGTGACCGTTTCCATCGCATCTTCGCCCGGCAGATGGAAAAGGTCCGTGTCGGGGCACCAACGGATGGAAGGGACGGCGGAAGAGGCACCCGACTTCGCCCCGCGCTGGAAAAGCTTGAGCAGTGGCTGGTGGGATTCCCCTGCCGCGTTCTCATCAGGCATGTCTATGAAAGTAAACTGATCGGCGGAGTATGCTCGCAGAGAGAAAGAGAGCGGCGTGGGTTGGAAGCAATACGACTGTTCAGGGTGTTTGGCGTGGTTATTTTTTCATTAACACGTTCCGATCTCTCGGTACCTTCTAGAGCATATCTCATGATAGACACGTAGGCCAAGCAATATCAAAAGGGTGGCACGACCCCGCGATTATTCCCCTCACAGGTATAGCTACAGCGAAGCACAGCTGGCGGAGCTCATCACACACGCTGCCACCATCGAGCAGCAGCAGGAGCAGCAGCCACGGCAGAATACCAATAGCGTCTGTGCTACCAGTGATACCATCTCCGGGGTGGGAGACAGTTCCGCACAGGGACCTGGAGGAAAGCGGCAGCGACTGGACGCAGGAATTTCACCAGGGACCGAGGCCCCTTCTGAAAGGAGCGTCTCCAGGAATGCGGTTGCTGATGCTGGGGTGAGGTCGCCGCTTGAGGCCGTCGACGAACGCTCCAGGGCTGACTCTGATTGGGCGGGGATGCATCACCGTCAAGCATGGTTTCTCCAGGTAGTGGTGCCTTTTGGTTTTCCGGAATTGCCTGATCTCGTCTGTCTGTTGTACGTCTCTACAAAAGCGTTGTGTTCCCCTGTCTTTTGCACTTTTTCTTCTCTCGACGTTGCCCACTGCCGTTTATCATCGCCTACTGCCGTTATTTTATGCTCCACCGTTATCCCGGCAACAGACCCGCTGCGCAAAATGTTCTGTGAACCTGTCCCATTCCATTCTTGATTATTGGAGATTGTTGATTTTATTCTCTACGTCCACTTACATCGTTCCTTGAAGCTGTTTGGGCAGTGCAACATGCAAGCTGTAGACTCCCGTCGTGATTTGAGGCTGGACTATCACCGTGGCGAGCTACGTCAACCGGTGCCCTGGAAATGGCCATCGAGCGTCTTTCTGTCGAGCACCGCGCTCCGCCCCCCAAGAGTTTTTTGCTGTAATTGGTTGGAAATGTCACGACGGTAGTGATTCCTAAGTTTTTAACTGTATCACGCTATATCTCTCATGCCCTACGCCTCCCTGAAAAAAGCATGCGACACATGGCGAAGACGCAAGCGGTGCTCGGATGTTGGTGATGCCTTTTTTAGAAGCAGGACCTTCTCGAAGCCGAATTTGTGCTTTGCGAATGACCGAGTGACTCTGGTAGCGACGCATTGGTACCCCTCCCGGGCGCTGCCAGCAGCGTCTCCCTCGAACCTAGTTTAGTGGAAAGCGCTGTAGTTCACACAAGTTTTGGAACAAGGAACAACCCGTAAATATGCGAACTAGGTCATGGTGTCACCTTCGTTTCTTCTTGTTTTCTCCCCCGTCCATCGTCACACACCCCCGCCCTGGGATATCCCTTGTTCATGTGACTGGTCAACAATGACGTCGCTTGGTCGGGTTGCCGTCGTCAACCGACACCAACACACACACCTCATCCGACAACACCGATTGTCACCACCACCACAACCACTACCACCACCCGGTATCACCGTGACCATCGACATCAGCTTTTTCCGGCGTTGAACGCGTTCTCAGCATCAGCGCTGCTTTCGTGCGCATCCCTGAAACACCTCATCGTCGCGCCCTACGACGAACTGGCCCCTGGTTTGCTGGGGAGGAGCGGCGGTGGCGACTACGCCCCGGGAACCGACGGCAGAAGCTCGAGCGGTGTAGGAGCCGCAAGGGGGGGAGTGAAGGCCGAGTGTCTCCTGGATTTCTGTTCGGCCGTTCGCCTCGAGGGGAAGTAGGGAAACGGTTAGGTAGGTGCCGCGGGGGTGAGATGGTCGTTCTTCCGCGAACTTTGTGGAAACAGGGCGCGGTGGACGGGTGTGGAGGTTGTGGGAGCCATAAAGTGAGTTGGGATGGTTCCTGCTGTGCATATCGTGCGCATCACGTTTCGTGTCCGGGAACTCCGTGCAGCAGTCAGTGGTGGGGAGGGGGGGTAGAAATCCTGTGGCATCTGCTTTGGTAATAGGAGAGAAACAATTCGTTTGCACAAAGGATGCCACAACGGAGTTGATGGGAGTGGATGATGTTTCGGCACTGACCTGCGGTTGAGGCAATAATGGGGAGGAAACAACGGAGCACTGTGGGCGCTGATTGAGGTTGGAACCCCTGCTATGATGTACCGTATGGGAAACGTGCCTGCGGCGGGGTACTTGGGAATTTTTTTCGTGTGTGAGAGATTCGGTGAACATCATCAATGATGCGTCGAACATGCTCGAAACCGGGTGCTGGCGACGGTTTGCTTTCAGAAAGGACCCGGGACACGTAGACGGTGTTGATACTCAGGCGTTGTAGGTGTGAGGTGTGTTTTTTCCATTTGAATGGCTGAGTGGGGGTTATAGCGGGAACCAACATATTCCATGTTATGGAAACGTGGTTCAACTCTTCGTCTCCAGTGTGCGTAAGGTAGAGGACTACTCATCAACTGTTCGCAGTTGTTACGGTGAGAAAGGGATGAAAACCACGTCAATGTTCTACCGGGAGCTGATCTTGGGTTAGGGCTTGACGAATACTGACAGGTCTTGCATCATCTATCTTTCAGCCTCTGGTGGCTGTAGATTGTGCTACACAATTCTAGAGTGGAAGTAGTGGGAGGCTTCCTCCTTCTATTCTACACTTCGATGAAATGAAATCCCGGAGCTATGCTCACTCGTGTCATGTTTTGGGGCTGAAAAAGTCGGTCGGTGTCGTCCCTGTTCGATTTTTATCGTTTTCGCCGTTGTGTTCGGCTTCCTGAAATCTCTGTTGGCGTTTTCATGACTTTTGAAGCGGGGGAACTCTGCGACGGCGGTACAGGTTCGGAGACCGGCACTGACTTTGGTGTCCGGCAACACGTACTCTAGCTTGGAAAGCAGCAAGTAAAGGAATACAGGGCGCCGAGCACCACTCCTTCATTGCATCTACAAGTGTACATAATTCTTGCCTTTTGACAAAACGCGAACGAAATCCAGTTTGTACTTCGTAGTTGAGGAAACTCGAGGGAATTCTGCAGGTACACGAAGTTGGACCCCACCCCATGCTTCAAGATAGACCATACCCTCCGTTGGTTTCCTCGAAAAGGAAGTAAACTGCGATGCTCTCCAAAACATTATGGAGGTAGACTTATTGTTTCCTTCAGCCACAGACATGAGTGAAATCTGATCACTAATTACGTGTACCTACAAAGAAAGTCGACCCCGCGTTAAGGACGCTTGCTTTAAGGAAACTCCCAGCCTTACGAAAACTATTTTTGCTCAGCACCAGGGGGCGCATCAGAATGTACGGTAATGGGGTAACCCCCATTTTTCTGTTGCGTACCCCCTTTGTTGTTTCCTGTGCCGCTCTTGGCACGCACCACGCACCACGGTGAGACGCACAGACAGTAGAAGTAGCGAAACTAGGTGTGGTGTTGGTATGGATCGATTCCTCCTATCTACCGGCGGTCCATCTGATGCCGCCAAAAAAAAAGGGAAGCAACCAGAAACAGGTATACGCGGGTGGATTATCACCACATCAGGGTACACTTGGAAACAAACGCGACACCTATCATCGACAGCATCCGCCGTACATCGCGGCGAGACCAATATTCCGCTGTCTTCTGGTCCTATGTCCTAGGAGGTGGCCAGTGGGCACGGTTATTACATGGGATAACGTTGGGGGGTTACAGGCCGAGCGGACATGCCGGGTTTTGAAAGCGGTTATGCGCGGATTGGTGTGAAGGAGGAGAAAAGAAAAAAACATGTGTGAGCTTTCCCCTCCCTTCCATTCATTGTATTCCACTCTATCTACCGTTGTTGGGTTAATCAAGCGATATACATAATATCGGCAGACAAATTTCCTCTCTTTCGAGATGACTAGCGCATGAACATCACACAACGCGGAGGGGATCGGACCAGCAAACTGAGTCTATCAAGTCTGACGGTGTACCGCCACGCTACATGTTGAAGCATATCACGTATTACTCGTGATTCCGTGATGAGTCTATATAATAGTCTAGTGATGGGGGGGGTGTACTCATAGTCGTCGTGCATGCCGTAGTCCTCAGACTTTTGACCTCGCATCCCTACAAAGCCGGGACGGAGCACGCCGGGTTCTCACCGGACCAGGCTCTCACATCACCAAGCGCGAAGCGCCGTGAGATATTCGGCGAGTCGCATGAAGGGTGCGCTGCATCCTGC